AAGATCTTTACAAGTTTTTAAAGCATATTACCTATGTCGATTCAATTTTAGTGCTCTTAGTAATATGGTAGGCATCCCAAATAAAGTTAGTAACTTCCTAACGTCATTGGAACTTATGTGGTGTATGCTGCAGTATATTCAACTTGTAGCAAAAGGTACTAGCTTTGGCAAATAAAGTGGTCATGTTATTGTACATGCTTCTGTTAGCATTTGCTGCAAAATTATATCTTGTATCATCACAATGATGGTGTTATTCGGTATGTGTATCATTTTATTTAAAAGTAGTCATGTTTCTAGCTCTTAATGGCCGTGAATACAAATTGCTGTTTAATGTAATTTGTGACTGTTATTGCTGTACCTTAGAATAATCAATGTTTTTAATGTGTTTCCTGTATCTATTTTATATACTGTTTTTTTTTCTTCATCTCATAAACCTGAATTTGTTTAAATTCACTACATACAGTTCGCAATATAAAAGTTTAAATTCATATTATATATATATTTGTGTAAAATATGCAACATCATAAAAGAGAGCAATGTTAAGTTTTGGCGAGGTTACTGAGCAGGTTTAGTTCTGGTTTTCAGTGTATTTCCTTTTTCTGACAGTTTTTCATGACTATTCACCTACATTATCAACATTTAAGTGCTGTTGCGAATTGAAATGAATTGAAGCTCTTGTCATAACACTTGCCCCTCCCACCTTCCTAGCATGCTTTTGGGGTGTATTGGCCAGTATACTTGGCGTGTATTTGAGAGGTCTGAGTCCCAGCAAGGGCATTGCTCGAGGGCACCTAATGTATCTACACTGGTGCCCAAACTAAAAGGGTGATGGATGATGATTCTCCACCACCAGGATTTGGCGACTGGGTTCCCTAATCCCCAGTCGCCTTTTAAAAGGGTAAGTGTATGAGGTATTTCTCCCATTTTCTTCTGGGACTCGAACCTGGGCCTCTCGAATATGTGGCGAGTGTGCTAACCATTACCTTACAAAGCCTTGTTGGAAGGAGGGAGTAAATGTTATGTATTATTTCAACCTGTACTGTCAATTCCACTTTCTGCATCCTCACCAGAATGTTAATAAATTAGGTAAACACGTTTAGGATGCAGATGAGTTAAGAGCATTTAAGGCGAAGCTTTTGAGATTAAAAAGGAATGCAAGTATTGGCTACGTCGACTTCTGCTGTCAGGCTTTAGCCATTTGTAGCCGTTGCAATAAGCTTGCCATTAATTTAATTGTCTGAGCAAACTTGTTAGAATAATCTTGAATTCTACTATTCTATTACCTTGAAAAGTTAAGTTTATTAGTTGTGCGATACTTTTCAGTATTTTAACGATTGAGTTGTTAATATGTCAATTTTAGATATCACAGAACAAAAACTACGCGGTTAATATGAATTTCACTTCACTATAAATAGGTCCACGCTTTTTGGCCAAGAAGGCACCTGAAAAATTAAACTAAACCTTGAGTGCACTTGAACTGGCAAAAGCCGCTCATTGTAGTTGCTCACGAGAAATCACAGCTTGGAAAAACATCGCCGCTAGTCCTGGAAAAAGACTTGTATTAAAGATGACGCCTTCATGAAACAGGATGCCGTCCATGGCAGTTGCTCACCGGAAATCACAACTTGAGATCTATCGCCGCTGAACCATAGAAACAGGATGGCACCCATGGCAGATGCTCACATAGTAGCCGCTTTGCAGAAACCAGGAAAAATCATCATGGACTGCAACCCACTGTACTTATCGCTGGACGGCACACATCGCAATATCGTCTTCCAATGGGCGCTGGAATGGCACACCAAGGAGGAATGAAATAGGAACAAGAAGGACTAAGCCAAAGTGATGCAAGATACTTAAACATGAAGTAGACATGACGTCATCTCACGGCAACCAATCAGCTATCGGCACAAGTCAGCTTTCCAGATAACGTAATATCAAGTTTCGTTTTTGCATCTTAATTAAGCTGGAACAGTCCATTCTTAATACAAACAGTGGCAGTGAAAAATGAAGTAGAGTAATTGCTATATCCCTTTAAAATAAGAACTAAACCTTATGTAAAAGTTATAATTATTTCAAGGAGGAGAGATGATGCAGAGAAAGGGTTACAATAGTTCATATTTTCAACAGTCAGCACATTTGGCGTGTATCTCGAGAGGTCCGATGTTCGAGTCCAGGCAAGGACACCTCGTCCTTATGGTGAGAACGTGGTACTTTCGCTGGGACGGGTGTTTTTGAATTTAGAATTTGGAAGTTTGAAGTATTCCCTGAAAATAGATTTGAATGTATTAAAAGCACAAAGAAAGGGTCTGAGAACGTCCTTTACTCTCAGCCTGAAGAAAGTTGAAAATGAATTAGTTAAAGAAGCTGTTGATGCAAGTGAAATTTCCGTTTTAAGGCTTCAAATTACTGAGACTTGAGGACTCCAGATCAAAGATTGCATCAAACTGCATCTCCAGATCAAAGATTGCATCAAATTGTATCTCCAGATCAGATATGTATCAAAGATTGTTAAATTCTGGAGCTGTTGCAGGATCTGCCAAGAAAAGGCATATTTCAATGTCACGTAGATAAAGCTTAATAATATTGCTACAAAATGTGGATAAAGGCTTACCACCTCAAAATTATATAAAGAGTATGGCTTTGGAAGTCAGCAATATACAGAGAAAAAATATTTTGAATTTTTTTGTGAATTTTGACACCCCACTCACAGCAGATAACAGGAAAATTATTCGTTTTACTAAAAGTGATGATGGTGATACAGAGTTGTTGTAAGGGCATGCCTTTGACAAGTTTATTGCTGAAGGCTGAAGCCAAAATATTTCATCAGGATATAGATTTGAAAATATGAGTACATGCATTTGGCAGGTTAATTAAACAAATTTTAAAATCTGTGACATAAGGAAGTTAAAAATTTCAGGCGAGAAAGCTTCAGCTAATATTGAAGCATCTGAAAAATTTCCAGATGAGTTTATTATTATCAGTACAAAGTTATTTCCAGAAAAAAACATTTAACTGATGAAACTGGCCTTTTGGCAATATCTTCATGTACATTCGAGCAGGGGTTCCCAACCCTGTGCCCACAAGCGATTTGTATGCCTGCCGCTGTGCAATCATAATAAAAATGTTTTAGTTTTCAAAAAATTCTATGTGAAAGTGTTCTCATTTTTGACGAAATAGAAAGTGCATCTGATACAGATACCATCAGAAAGCAAAATGCGATCAATCTCTCTCTCTCTCTTTTTTTTTTTTTTTTTTTTTTTTTTTTTTTTTTTTTATGTGCGTGTATTAGTAACTCTATCCATTTATAAATTAACCTTGAAAAAATAAACGGTGCCTGTCGTCCAGCAGATATTCTAGAATATGCGTTCAAGGACAAAAGATTTGGGAACCACTGCCTTAGAAGCCATATCTGCAGTAGTTGCAACTGGTGTCAGATTTCAGGGAAGGTATTATTTTGCCATGTGCAAATGCCACAGGAGTGCTCAAAATGTAACTATTTTATAATTAAAAAAATACATGGTCTTGGACATTTAAAGTTTTCTTTATTTATTATTCAGATACGAAAGTATGTATCACAGAAATATTAATAAGTCTAATTTTATAATCATTTGATACCTGACTCTCAGCAATAGTTGAAATTGATTGGTTTCAAATGCTGCAGAAATTTTCCCTATTAAAGTTAGCTGTTCAGCTTGTACTTCATTTAAAATTCTAATCAGAGACTCTAAATTGTACATCCAATATTCAGCGAATGGATATCGGAGTGTCACATGCACTGAAATGCTGAATAGTAGCCTTTTTAAAATCTGAAATTTTTTGAACAGTAGCAAGATCATTTGGGAGTTTTTTAAATATTTCAATGTAAAATTTGCTGTGTGGAGCATTTCAAGGTCATAAGATGACATGTCTGCCGATATTTAAAAAAATACTAGGCATAATTTATAGCAGCAGTCATTTTTTTGGTGATGATATTTGCAAATTTTAACGTTTTTGTTTATCACTTGAAAATGAAATTTTCTGATTAATTGAATTTTTGAAAAGTGGGGGAATTGATAGTAAATGTAGGTAATAGAACAAGTTTTCCATTGCAGTGACAATGCCCCAATCATCAACCAGCTAACAAACTGCGAAATTTGGTTTTTAAATCTGGAAAATATTGCCATGGATAGTGAAGAAAGTGCTAAAGCTGTTTAGAATTAAAAAGATTTCAGCAGACAGTTTAGTGTGAAATCTCGACAGAGCGACTATACCTATTGAAGCAATGGAACTTTGTAACTAAGGAAATGTTTGTCCATAAAATTAATGGAAAATATTGGCAGAAACTGAACACCTTACACAACTTCTTTTGAAAGAAGTGTTTAGTGAAACAAATAAAAAGTGAACTTGTATGTTCAGTTTCATAATTTCGACACATCATCTTCTGGATTTAAACTGATTATCTAAGATCTGGGAATTTCTGAAATCTGGAATTGCTGAATTTGGACTTGGTACTGCACTATAATACTCTAGCTGTGTAGCACAAATAGAAATAATTAGTAAGACATTAGTTCCTATGTTTACATATCTAAATTTTTTTTTTTTTTTTTTTTTTTTTTTTTGAGATAGAAGGGTGTCAGTTCAGATGTTAGGTGGCTTTAAATTGTTTTGCAGAATTTCATGATTTATGTCATGACCCATTTTCCCCCAGGGTAAAATTATTGCCTTACTGATTAAGTTATTTTATTTGATCTTAGGGTTAATTTGGGTTGCAGCGAATTTTGCTGGAAGTTGTGAAACTTACCAAATATCAGCCGTTTTGTGTTTTTAAATCTATTTTATGTATCTAATTAACATGTTCTGTGATGTTGTTTATTATTTTATGTGTATAGCTCTTTCTATTTCATAAACTTTGAATGGTTTTTAGTATAGGATGTGGAGGCTCTATGCATGCTCTTGCTTGTTATTCATTTTTCATAAATGAAATATTCTAATTGCTGTATATTGTATGCTTTGTTCTATAGAGTTGGGGTGGAAAAGAAAATGGATTTGGCCTTGCTGAATGCTGCCAAAATTTAGCAGTCAATGTAAGTTGGTTTTTTTAATGCACTTTGAACAGTACAAATTTTGGCTGTTTATGATAAGATTTTTAAGTTATTGCTTCAAAATCTGCATAACCTTCAGTTTAAAAAGCCAAGGAATTATTTCATGCTTCCAAGAAAAATAAATTTTAACTTATTTCTTAGATTTCAAAAACATGCTGTAGACTTTTTATTGAATCTAATTGCAACTTTTCAAGTATTATTTATAGAACTAGAAACTCTTGCTGTAACTATGTATATAGCCTGTTAGTTTTATCACAAATCATGTAATAAAATGGAATTTGTAATGTACTTATAAAACATTATGATGATTTTGATTGTTATTGATTTGTAACTTAGTATTTCTTAAATGATTTAATGGGCACTTTCTTGTCAATGCAGCAACCTTGCTCAGTTGCCAGAATTGGCAAGCTGGTAATGCCAGTAACAGCAATAGCAGTAAATGTGTTATAACAGTAGTGTGTGATATAATACATATAATGTTTCCAGTGCTGAATTTGAGCAATTCTCTGTTTTTTAAGCGAAAACATCAACTGCTGTGTACACAGGGAGAACAACAGTAATGTATCATATACATTAATACTAGATAATTATGTTTAATCCATTATATAATCCTTATGTAGCAATTCAAATTTGTATTTTAGTTTTCCTGTGGTATGTTAATAATATTTGGTAATAAATGTTTGTGATGTCAGTATGTATCCTCCTTTTGTTCTTTGTTCTTCCCCGTGGATACAGTGATCTGGTCCGCTTGAAAAAACATAAGAAATTGCTTAAATTTGCCATTCCACATTAGTATCTTGAACATTAAATTTTATAAATGCAGTGTTTGACTTGTCTGAACGTTGCCATTGCGTTTTCTGGTATATGGCAAATTTTAAATGTCATCAAATGTGCCTAAGTGCTTGCAGTGGCAGTTTTACAAAGAAGGCACCATGTTTTCCTGTTTCTGAGGTTTAAATATTTACTTACATTTACTTCAGACTTAAGTATGTTGTATGAGTCAAGGTTAATTTTTGGGAGAGAAGGGCAGTATTTTGTTGAGTTTAAATTTCTTATTACTCTTAATTTTTATTATTTTTCAACATTTTCTGCCATACAATTGTCCTGACAATCTAAACAAACACAAATTGTATGGCTGAGACTGCTTAATTCTCTATTACTTTACAGGTACTCCCGTACTTTGGGATACGGAGACCAACCACTTGTGGTCTGAACGTAAAAATATAAAACTACTAACTAAAACTTTAACTAAAAGCTAACTTTGAATTAGTATACAAATGACTAACTAACTAACTATACTAATGCCTACTAACTTTTTAAAAAGTTATGTAGGTAGTACGCAAACTGCTGAAACTATAATATGTTTTAAATCAAGAGGACTAAACATCTGGCCTTAAAGGCTAGCAGCAACTGATTGAAAACTCGTAAGAATGCACTGGCACTTGCTCTCTCTCTAACTCTTGGCAAAAAGCCACAACTTAAATACTTGGGTGTTAGCAAGTACAATTTGCATAAACAAGTTGATGCATTTAACTCTGGCCAGAAGTGGAAAATAAAGTATAGTAATGTTTTAAAATAAAATAAACGTTGGTAAAATTTAAGATCCTTACATACTTCTCGCCAGAGTTAGTTTGAAACTGAGATCTAAAGGACCTTGTTGAAAACTTTTAGCTCTAGATTCTAAGTCTAATGAAAGGCCAATCTTTTACAACAACTCCTCACTAAAACTATCTAACCTAGAAATTAAACGATCGTTTTACAATATCATCTCCATAGACAATTACTTTTCATCTGTGCTGCATCTAAAATCAGGAGTTTTTCTTAGTTGAATCTGGTTCCTTCCAGAGGTCTGGAAGAAAAACTAGTTTAATGACATGTTAAACAATCAAATGGCAAGTAACATGAAGACGTATATTTTTCTTTTAAAACTCTATTCTTATTCCATTCATAACATTATTTGATTATCTCCCCGTGCTCTCTGACATGTGTTGTAAAGAGAAACACCAAACTCGTGCGTGCTTATGTACAAGTATTCAACAGTACCGCCTACCATCAAAACACTAACGTGTTAAAATTCAGCATAACAAGACCTCAGAACACACCTTATATTCATATCTGAACCCTGAAGTATTATTCTCAAGAAGTGGCTAACTCTGAAGTGTAGTGTTGGAGAGCCTAACTATGCGCATTCAACTACGCCTTCTTCTTAACTGCTGATTGTACTCCTGGACCCTTGATGGGTGCTGTCCTTGGAGGTATCAGGACAAATGTCTCCAGTTGCCTAGATCTGGTTGCTGGCTGTTCAAACTTTCGTTGCATCTGCAGCTGGTTTTCCCTGGTCGATTCACGGACATTTGTTGCATAGAATCCTATCCGATGGTGTTCACTCTTTCATTTTTGAGCAGTGTTATGGTTGCGGCCATTTCTCCTGGCTCTCTTTGCATTACTAGAACTTTCCCTTCTTCATGTTAGAGGCAGTTGTGCCCTCTCTTTTCTGGTCGGGGAAATGGATTCTTTTTCTTGTTACCTTCAGTTTTCCAACGGGGGAACTTTCTTTTCGTGTTTACCTCTCTACTCGTAGCTGACTCTTATGGTTGTTGTTGGGCCACCTCTGGAGATTGTGTCTACTGTGCCTTATCTTTCAAATGATCTTTAAATATTTGCATTTTATTATGATTATGGAAGGGTTTGATTTGATCAATATTTGCCCTGAACATTTAACCATTCTTGGCTGTTAACACCACTGCATCCTGTGTTACTTTTTCGATCACAACATGATACAGCACGGCTGAGAGCATCCCAAAGATTTTCAATGGGATTAAGGTCAGGCAAATATGCTGGCCACGCCATACACACAGTCCCTTCACTTTCCAGGTAGTCATCGACGATCTCAGCTCTATGGGGACGTGCATTATCATCCATTAAAACAAAAGGAGGACCAACTGCTGCAGCATACAATCTCAAAATGGGTTCTAGGACTTCATCTTGATACTGGACAGCCGTTAAGCAACCCCATTTAAAGATGTGCAGGTCGGTGCGGTATCCTAATGAAATCCCTGCCCATACCATAAATGCTTTCGCCTCGGAATGCGTGATGTTCGGTGATGTTTTGGGACTGATTGCGTGTTCATTGTTTACACCATATACTTATACGCTTGTCATCTGGTTCCAGAGCAGATCTTGACTCGTCAGTAAACATGACATTGCATCAGTCAGACGCATTCCAATTGACATGTTCTCAACTTCACTGTAATCGTGCCCCTCTTGGTTCGACTAATAGAGGAACACAGATTCGAGGTACCCGGGCGTACAGTCCACTCATTTGTAATCTTTGGCGTACATTAGCTGCAGATATTGCCTTACCAATGGATGGTGTAACCATAGATGTCACGCATGTGGAGGTCGCTCTGTGATTCCGCTTGGCTACAATAGCAATATATCGATCTTCCACGGGCGTTGTAACCCTTGGGCGACTGGCTATGTGCCTTCGGACAACTGTCTGTGTGGTTTGGGATTCTTTCCATAAACGTGAAATTACAGAATGATAAACGCCGAAGAGAAGAGCAACATCTGTGATCGACTGTCCTGCTTCAGTGCGCCTCGCAGCACGCCAGTGCTCAGAATCTTCCATTCGTCTTCTGGAAGTCATAGAAACACGTACGTCTTGAAAACAAATTGTACAAAAATATTAAACACTTTCTATCAGCACATACAATCAACTTCTGTAACCCTTCATAAAGTTGGTTCCTTATAAGACTGCCTTTTTTGCATATTTCTTGACATGAAAGCGCGATTGGCTGTTACCTAACATATTTGCATACGTCCATCTACCTCTGCAGTGAATTGCATCCTCTTCAATTCTGATTGGTTTCCGGAAATTAGCATTTTCTTCTCCGTGCTTAACTTTTGGAAGTAAGTATATATTAATCATATCTAATTGCAAATTTTGATGTTTTCAAGTGGTACCATAATTAATTTACCTTATAAGGTATTTCTCCCACTTTCCTAGCATGCCTTTGTGGTGTAACGGTAGCACACTGGGCCGGTATTCCAGAGGTCCATGGTTTGATTCCCGGCGAAGGCGGTTGCTAATTTTTCATCTCTCCGGCTTCCAATTATCCTAATGACTCTACAAGTGGCACCCGAACTAAAAGGGTTGTGGATGATGATTCTCCGCACCCAGGCTTTGTCGACTAGGTCCCATAAAACCCTAGTTGCCCTTTAAAAAGGGGAGTATATAAGGTATTTCTCCCATTTCCCTAGTGTGCCTTCATGGTGTAATGGTAGCATGCTGGGCTGGTATTCCAGAGGTCCGTGGTTCGATTCTCCGGCGAAGGCAGTTGCTAATTTTTCATCTCTCCGGCTTCCAAAAATACCTAATATCTCTACAACCTCTTAGCACAGCCAATGTGCATTACGCAGATAGACTGGAATTTTCTAAAACACACCTGGAAAAGACAGGGAATTTAATTTTCCTGTTCAAGTGGCAACCCTGAGTATTGTCTTTCATCGTGAAAATGCGGAGTTGTGCACTTTGATGAATATAGCAGGCAAAGACTTATAAGTGTGTGGTATTTTCTTTCACCCCTTATATTCACCAGTCCTCTCTGCTTTACTTTTTCATACCATTGAGTCACTTTAAAAATTCTCAGTTATGTAGATTTCACTTGGAGACTGTTTATTAGCACCTCCTAACTTCATTATGAGTAAACATAATAACGTTTGGATGGTGGATAAAATGGAATTTTCCAGCTGCCAAAGAGAGTAAAAAGTCAGAGCAAAATGGTGCTTATGTGATTCAATGAAATTTATTATGTTTTTGTACTGTTTCATGTGTTCAAAAATCACAGTACTATCAGGATGATGTAATATATAATTTGCATATAAAATGTTTTATCTTGTGTATGAAAAGTGGTTTGTTTCGAATTTAAGCTCAACATGAAATACTTTTTGCTATCGGTGAGTATCTATAGAGGACCGCATTTAAATGGTGTATAATTGGCTTTTCAAGATCAGAACTCGCCCACCAGTAGCCGAGCGGTAAAGTCGCTGAACACTGGTAGTTCGGTCCGAGGTTCGAATCCTGTGAACGGGCTGGCTGCATGGGCGTTTTCGTGGTTTTCCCCATGTGTAACGTGTATACGAGCCGGTTTCCCTTAGAAAGTCCTCCACGAAAGGCATCCCTCCCTTTAAGCAGATAGCCCTAGAGGCTTTGCCATAATCACACACACACACACACAAGATCAGAACTCTACAAAATAGGAAAAAACATAACTGTGGGCTTTAAAAACAACACAGTAATTCTTATTCTGACTAAAATGGTATTAATAAATTTCATCTGATACTGGACAGAATCTGTCACTTTGAAATGGGTTTATACACTGTTAAATGTACTGTTATTACACTTTTCAATTTTATATGTATTATTAAACAAATTATAGTAAATAACTAGATGTCTTCTTCTATATATGTTTAGTCAACTTTTGATGTAATGTATGTTAAGTATATTTAAGCAAAAAATATAATTTTTATTTTTTAAGCTGTATTAATATTTAATGATAGTTCCTACATTTTTTATGTAATGCATTTTGTTAATGCCATAAATTTTTGTAAATAAATATTCCAATGGAATATTGCACCGTTTTGCTTATCTCTTTAAAGTGAGAATGTTTTTGAAGAATTTCCATCTTGAGTTTAATTGCTTTGGAAATTTTTTGTACCTGCTTATATATGATATATGTTTTAAACTAGTTATTTTTATTTCTCAGGCCTATCCTTCCAGTGCTTCAACTCTTCATTTTGAGTATTATGCTGAAAATACTGATGAAAAAACCCCTAAGAAGGCATCTAACGCTATGATTGTTATACACATAGATAATGTTGATCAGGTATTTAATTTCCTTTATTGATTGTGCCTTGATTCCTTCCTTTATTGATTCCTTCCTTTATTGATTGTGCCTTTTGAAGAAATTGTTTAAGGTGGAAAATCTGTCATTTTAAAATGGGTTGTACACTGTTAAATGTATTTTTATTACACTTCTAAATTTTTTTATGTATTATTAAACAAATTATAGTAAATAACTAGGTAATGAAAGATAGGTTCTAAGAAAAAGAATTGAAGTGCAGAAAACTTCATTAAAAATTTTAAACTGTTCTGAGTTTTAAAAATTTATTGAGGCTTGCAAACAGTTTTAAATTTTGAAAATTATCCCTTGTAGAGTTAGTAAATCCTACTAAAGAAAGGAGTGGTTTTTGTCACACATTAAAAATCACCAAAGCCTAGCTTAATGTGTAGTGAAATATTAAAACTGCAATTCATGTTTTTAATGTTTTTTCTCATTCCTCTGGATGAATTTTTTAAAGCAGAGTGAGAAAAATAAATCTATGCTATTTTACTGTGTATATTTTCCCAGCTGTATACAACAAATAACAGTACCTGAGAAAAGAACCATCTTTAAATTTTTACTTGCTTAGTTTTCAAATGTGTCGGTTCACCTTTTAATTTATTTCAGCAGATTCTAAAATGTGCATCAACAATATTTGGTATGCATTATTGAAATTTTTACTCTAACTATAGATCTAATAGATAGCAGATATGTTATCAAAGTTGTAGAAAATGTGGTTAATGACATTTACCTGTTACTCTGAATGTCAGGAACTATTACCCTCTGTTTCAGTAAATTTTAAGTAATGTCTGCTTAAAGAAATGAAAGATGCCTTAAACCAAAGCAATTTCTGCCTATTTTAAGCCTATTGCAATTGCATTTGGAAAGCCTAGCTACTATATGTGGAATGATTTAAATGAATCATGCTGTAAAGCATGTGGAGTTAAATGTATGATCATCATCCTTATATATCATTTAAAAAATGCATTTGAAGTAGTATTTTTTTTGTGATAGACATTTTTAGAAACTCGTTAAGCATAATATTGATTTATATTTAATTTATATGAAACTGTAGTTAATTATCAAATAGCACACAGCACGTTGAGTAATAAGGTTAATATTCATCTGTTTTAAATAGCTGTTCTTATATACTTCTATTTTTAGGGAAATGTATGATATTTAATTTTCAGAATTAATCTTTATTAAGATCTGCCCATTTTGAAATTTTAGAAATAGCTGTTGGCATTAATTTTTGAGGTTGAAGCTTAGTTTCTCTGCATTCATTGATAGGAAGTCATTAGAAATGCATGTTTTCTCATCAACGAGAATCCACTACTTTTACGAGAGCCATACAGAATTGTCTAAAAACATAGTAGTAGTAGCATATTTGCGAACAACTGATTATAGCTTTAAATACTTAATGATCTGCTGTTGAAAGGTAACCTACATGCTAAGGAAAGTTACATTGTACAAGACAATATACACTACCCGACATTGAAAATCCAACATCAAAGAGTGGCCTGAAAATTATGCAAATTTTAGGGTAGACTCACGTCAACCGAATTATGCAAATGGTGTTAAATGAGTAGCTCTCCAGCAAATGTTGAAAAGGATGTGAGAGAAGGAACCTTCATAATGTTCAATTTTTGTGCCATTATATCTGCTAGGGAAGCCATTGTAGAAAATGCATTCAGGTCTTAAAGGGCAGGTTGGTCCATGCGATAAATCAGAGCTGACGTGCACCTGGACACGTCCATAGTGCACTGCCGTGGCAACAATGGTTGGAACAAGGAAATGTGGCAGGTTCAAGGGTTGCTGTGTTCAGAAGACTGACTATGACAAAGGGTTGACAGGGAATGTAGAGTCATTCCTCAGAACACCATCCATAGTCTCATTGACTCAATACCTAGACTTGCTGCTTTGTGTATTGCCGTCCAAGTTGGTCCTCCATTCCGACTGAGCCAACACTTTTCTCGCTCTGTATTATGCAGATCATTTCGAAATAAAGATAACTTATTGTTTGTTGCTGTCTTTCTCTGTTTGCCGAGTTTTGTCACTTTATAACCTGTTTTTGGTGTAACATTTTTAACGTTTTGTAGTGTAAATTTCTAGAAAATTGAAAATCTTGGTTTCATAATTGTTAGCTTGCATGTCACGTCAAAAGGATGGTTAGCAGCCCAGTAGTAATGGACAGTGTGTCTAAAGGACAAGGATGTAATCAATATCAGTGTATGCTTCATGCTTGCTGGGAATTTCTCATTGAAAGGGAGCAATTTCAAGTCCCTGTCTCAAGCGTGAAGGAAGTAGTTAGTTACCAGCTCCTTTTATTGGTTTCTGTGCTCTACTCAGTTGAACTCAATCAGACAATTCATTTCAGCTCCACCTAATAAAACAGACAAGTCATTTGTAAAAGCTCCTTTACTTTTATTTATATTTTAATGAGATTCCTGCATATCAGCTTAGAGTATTTTGTCTCGTTTTTAACTTCATTTTAACCATGTGTGCCAGTTAATTTTTTAATGTGCCCAGTCCTGTTGGATAGGGAAAATACTCATATAATTCCTTCAGTGTAGTACAGTTGCTGGTACTATGTGATCACAGACATCATAAGGACATCACCAGAGTGATCACTTCTAATACTTTTGTACTAGATCTGTAAACTTTATATTTATATAAATGTACCTTTATATAAATTTTCATGTGACCTTTATATGTGAATTTTTTAATGCTTTAGTATTTATACCATCAGATCTAGAATTTTTCCAGTCTGAGTAATTAATTTATTCTTCTACCAAAAAATTGAGTTAGATTTTATAAATTTACCTCTTCTTTAGTGTACAAGATGGCTTTTAACAGATCAAGTAAAGTTCTAACTTTAAACTAGATTATAGAATTCTTAAGGCACATCTTCTCTTTATACTCACCAGAAGTAGTAAATCTAGAGTATTAAATTTAAATATCTATTGCACTTGTAATCTAATTTATTGGCAGGAGATGAAAGTGATCATAAAATATGAAACCTTAATATGTTGCAGATCACAAAGTCCACCTGCTAGTGCTCGGTTGTTAGACAATGTGTATTCAGGAGTGCAACTGGAAACTTCTGAAATGGTTATAGATGAAAGTGAAGTTCCAGATAAAAGTATTTAAATAAAAAGCTGTCATCTAGATTGAATTTGTAGCCATGTTCTCAAAAAAAAAATCAATTTCAAACACTCTGTATTAAAAGTTAACGAGTTGCTGACTTTTGAAGTGTTTAAATTGGATTGTTTTTACATAATATAATGAACTTTCCTTTAAATTTCTCATAAATCATTAAATAAAGCAGAACAGTTTAATTAACAGCTGTTGACACATTAGTAAAAGGGGCCAGGAATTCAGGGTGTTTGGAATAAAGTTTTTGAAATGCAAATTGCTGTGAGAAAGCAAATGTTTTCTATATTAATTAAAACTTTGTTGTTCCACTCTTGTTTTCCAGCAGCAGTTAGAGTATTCGTAGCAATTGTAATGAATATGAATAAAATAAGAAAGCAACGATGAACTTCCTTTAAGAATGACTTGTTTTGACAAAGGGAAGATTGTTACATTCATCAGCGACAGATTTTACTATTTTAGAATATATTAATTTAGCAAAATTTGTTAAAAAACGGTAAATATTTCCCGTTTTTCTTGTATGTAAGATATGTAATATGTATATTAAATAAATTAGCTTAATTTACATTGATAGGTTTGTTTATTGAAAAGTCCAAAATTGTCCACGTAACAATGTTTGGACATTCAGTCTACCTATCTTCAACGTTTTTGGTGACTGCCATCCTAGCAGCAACCCAAGTATGACTAAAAACATTTATTCTTTGACTGTGTCAAATGCAACCTTGGCTGGCATCGTGCCAAAACACTTAGGAACATCCAGAAGGGGGGTTAATTATGTGCTGCAGAGTGAAAAGGTCACATGAGGGTATACTCTTCTGCGGAAAGAGGGAATTAACTGCCGAAGGAAGGGAAGTCTCGTGTCATCAAGTGATCTTGGCATCAGTTGTCTTTTGCACCTTTATTTCATATTTGAAGAAATAAATGTGAAGTTTTGTATTGATTTGCAATACTGGAAACCAAAAATTTGGAACTTTTTTCATAATGTATGAATTTTACGTGAAAAGTTCATATTTCATTGCTTTTTTTTTTAAAAATAAGATTCCTACAAATTACATAACTATATATTTTAGCAGAAATATTCTTTCTGTTGGTTAAAAAAAAGTTAACGGGTATCTGCCCCATTGGAGAGGTGTCTTCCCTGATCACAGTTGATTTGTGGCATTATTGTGACCTTTTATGCATAAATTAATGTCTTTATTTTTTTCTAAAGCGAATTTATTTTTTCCCTTCGTCACTTCAGCTATATATAGTAATGCATTTAGATTTTAGGCCCGAAATTAAAAATTATTTACTCTAATTAATCACTATATAATATTTTAGCATATAATTATTAAGAAATTTCTTTTTTTCTCTGTATATTAATGCACATGTGTTTTCATTCGAAGTTAGTTCGTTTAGTTATATAATAACTATTAATTACGTTATTGTTATAATAATTAGTATAATTTTATTATATTATAGTCAGCTATGATTATATTAGTATTTATTGTAATGAAAGTTATACAGTAAAATATAATAATGAAATAATTATAACAATAATTTTGCAGTAATAGCTATTTATTACACTATCTTAAAATTATTTATCTATAGCAGTGTTTCTGTGGGTCGCGGGACCTGCAGCAGGGTGTCGCCAAAAATTTAGCAGTTTTGATATTTCTTTAACTTATAATAATTTTACAATTACCGTAATTTCGCACGTATAGTCCGCGGACTATCTGTGTTTAAAATGCAAATTTTTGAAACTGCGGACTATCCACCAGTGCGGATAATACGCTGGTTGTTCACGGTTAAAATCGTTGAAATTTAATAAACACGCTGTCGTGAACTGCCGATGATCAAATATAAAAAAA